CAGCGCCTATCTTTCAAAAGAGCCCAAATTTTTTATGGAAATTATTATATTGAGAAGATAGCATAAATAATTTTCTTTTGATTATTGAGTTATTATAATAAACTTGACGATATTTATGTATTTTAAGGGCCCATTTTTTTCTCTCGTCCTGAGCCCAAAATACATTTGGAACGGCTCTGGTAGGAACGTTTGTAGCTAATTTGTAGGAAAAAAATTACCCACGAGGGTTTTTCCTACAACCTGTTTTTTGTAGGAAATCGGTAGGTAACGCCTTGTTCCTACGAATTTACTCCCAATTCTATTGTAGATAATTACTTAGTTTTCTAGTAGTGAACATGTGAAATACATACAATTTTAAAAATCTACTCCGTGCGGGAATACACATAAAAATTCTAATAATCAAATCCAAAAAAACAAAAAATAATATATATATATATATATATATATATATATATATATATATATATATATATATATATATATATATATATATATATATATATAAACACTTGGTTGTGTGTGTTTTCCTCCTATGTACATTGTAGGCACATGCATGCTAAAAAAAAGATTGTTTGAAAGGAACAGGTACTATTTTACTAGCCTATAGATAATCAAATTAATTGATCACCTCATCGTAATTGTAATTTTTTATGTGTATGTATTACATTAATTGATTTATTTGAGTTATTTCTGTTAGTATTTGTTGTATTTGCTATTTTCTCCTGAAGTAAGCAACAGCAAACAAATCCGTGGCTTACTCCATCCCCGAAAATAAGGGATCAAACATATATATATTGTTAATTATATGTATTTTCAATTTTTCAAGTTTTCTAGTAGGTGGTTTTAAAAGTAGGTTTATTTTTAACAATTTGACTAGATAAAGTATTATGTTATATTCAATTAAGATTGGGACCTAGTCCTTACGACAAAGGAAAGGTTTTGAAAGGACAGATGAATATGATCTCTTTGATAGCACTCTAAAGTTGCATTTTAACAAAGGTTGGTGATGCAATAGAAATAGTTGTTGACTCTGCCAAAATCATCCTTAGACATCAACCTATATATATGTTCAGATTTCATAGCTGGGTTCATGCTGTAGCAAAAGCTTTCATATTCTTCAACGAAAGAGAGAGACAAAGATATGGGTGGAATTTTCTTGTTATTGTTAGCAATAACTTCACTGCTTCCTATGTATACAATTGGTGGAACTACCAGGAGCTATGAGTTTAACGTATGTCTCATTACATAAGATATCCATGATGCTTATCATTTTTGTAGTCCAACAACTTGATCTATTTTTTCATGCAGATCGAGCTGCAAAACGTGACACGACTGTGCCACACAAAAAGCATGGTTACGGTCAATGGAAAATATCCAGGTCCACGTATTGTCGCTCGAGAGGGTGATCGGCTTCTTATAAAAGTTACTAACCATGTCTCCAGTAACATTACAATCCATTGGTATAATTAAGAGCTGTACATTTTGTATTTTCTAATTAACGCTCTATAAGATATATATTATTATTACTTTAGATACAACCTCATCGTACTATATATGATTCTGATGCATGCTATATACACATGCAGGCATGGTATTAGACAACTTCGGAGTGGATGGGCCGATGGGCCAGCTTACATAACTCAATGCCCCATACAAACTGGCCAGAGTTATGTCTACAACTACACTGTTATTGGACAAAGAGGAACATTGTTTTGGCATGCACATATATCATGGTTAAGAGCAAGTGTTTATGGCCCTCTCATCATTCTTCCAAAGCTTAATGTCCCCTACCCTTTTACCAAGCCCTATAAAGAAGTTCCCATCATCTTTGGTAAAACTACGTACATATATACTTTGTTGAATCTTTTAATCTCTAAGCATGTAGCTATGTTGTACTTAATTAATTACATCAGTTTTGCATGCATGAGAGTAATTACAATTTTATATGTCTACAGGAGAGTGGTTCAATACTGATCCAGAGGCTATAATTTCGCAAGCAACACAAACCGGTGGGGGTCCAAATGTTTCCGATGCCTATACCTTCAATGGGCTTCCCGGACCTTTGTACAAGTGCTCTGCTAAAGGTACCGTATTTCTAGCCTTTGTTACATACGTACGTACGTACACCCCTGGAATACATATTTATATAGAATACGTGTATACATATGTATTGAAAGAAACCATGACTCATGAAATCTGCAGACACATTCAAGCTGAAGGTAAAGACGGGGAAGACGTACCTCTTTCGACTGATCAACGCAGCACTCAATGATGAACTCTTTTTTAGCATAGCAAACCACACCCTCACTGTTGTTGAGGCTGATGCCATTTATGTAAAACCTTTCAAAACTGAAACGCTTATACTATCTCCTGGTCAAACCACCAACGTCCTCCTTAAAACCAAATCCAAATTTCCAGGTGCCAACTTTCTCATGTCCGCTAGACCATATGTAACGGGTCAAGGAACCTTCGACAATTCCACAGTTGCTGGTATTCTCGAATATGAGTCGCCTGTTCCGATGAAAAATCTTCCACTCTTTACACCAACATTACCATCTTTAAATGACACTTCATTCGTGTCAAAGTTTTCAAATAGACTTCGAAGCTTAGCAAACTCTAAATTTCCTGCTAATGTCCCACAGAAGATCGACAACCATTTATTTTTCACAGTAGGACTTGGGACGACCCCTTGTGCGCAAAATAGAACTTGCCAAGGACCGAATGGGGATAGATTCGCTGCATCCATAAATAATGTGTCGTTCGTACAACCAAGTGTTGCCCTTCTCCAGTCCCACTTCTTTAATAAATCGAAGGGTGTTTATAGTCCTTATTTCCCAATCAACCCATTGCATTGGTTTAATTATACCGGAACTCCTCCAAATAACACCTTTGTGAGCAATGGTACAAAACTCATGGTTCTTCCTTTTAATACTAGTGTGGAGTTGGTGATGCAAGATACCAGCATTCTTGGTGCTGAAAGCCACCCTCTTCATCTCCATGGCTTCAATTTCTTTGTTGTTGGTCAAGGGTTTGGAAACTACGATCCTAAGAAGGACCCTAAGAACTTCAATCTTGTGGACCCTATCGAAAGAAACACGGTTGGTGTGCCTTCTGGTGGGTGGGTTGCTATACGATTTCTAGCGGACAACCCAGGTTTGTTACTCATGCATGTAATTTCAGTTTGGTTTCTTGCATGTGGTGCTATATATATATATGATGTATTTTAGTTTGTTATTGATATATTATTCTTCGTATATATTGTCCAGGGGTATGGTTCATGCATTGTCATTTGGAAGTTCATACCGGTTGGGGTTTGAAGATGGCATGGCTCGTCTTGGATGGAGAACTACCTAACCAAAAGCTCTTACCTCCACCGTCTGATCTTCCAAAATGTTAAAGCTTGCGTTTCTTGACACATTTCAATCAATTTTTCTCAACTATTAAAATTTGAGGGATCTAAAGTGTTTTTTTTCCTACAACTTATCATTAGATATGTTATAGTGAGTTGATTAAATTCATTTGAGGAGGTACTTCATTGAATAAAATATAACAATTTATTCCCTATATCAATTGGTTATTTTTTCATCTTGGGTAAACAATTTGTGCAGAACATTTCGTTCATTACTACATCCATATTCATATGACTTGGCTAGATTGAAGTGTATGACCCGACATCACGATTGTGGCAAATGTAAAGTCAACGAATGTGAACTCATTATAAAACTTGGTTTGCCACTGCATTGAATAAAACCTATAGATATGACGTGTTGCTGCTAGTAGAACCATTTTCGATAAGGTTTATTTAAGTGACAACAATTACTATCAACCTCTAGTAAGTCTAGTAAGAAGTAAATTACACGGTTCCACCTAGAAACCATAACCAATACCAAGTTACATAACATGTTTCTATTTTCAAAGGTTCCCCTAACGAATTAAATGATGTGATGCAAAAATAGCAACACACAACCAGTAGTATGTGTAGAGCAAGCACATGCACAACAAATACTATAATTTGTTAACGGCTATAAGAAACAAATAATATAATTAACTAACAATACAAAATACATATTAATATGCATAGCTATGAAAGGAGAATAGCATGTGACTTACATTTCTCATATTAATAGTACTATCGATAAATACCCTATTAGAAAATAAGGTATCCAACCGATAATTCTCTCGTAAAAACGTTTCTAATTACCAACATTGCGATGAAAAAGAGCCAAGCCAAAACACTAATATCAACAAGGGAATTTTTTCCTCAACGATGACTTGAGTGACGGATTATCTGATCCCAAATTGTTCATGATAATGTGAGCTTTGTCTCTTCTACATCGATAATAAGATATTGACGAAGGTCTAAAATCCATCAGTAATATGGGTCATCAACAATTCTCTGGTTTCTATTTGTTTTGACCGAGTTATAGATAACATAAACTTACAAACAAATGTATGTATCATTAGAACCCATTAGTCATTTAGAAGTTTTATTTTTTTTATTTTTTATTTATTTATTTTTTTTAAATCAAAGTTATTTTCTAAACACAAATAGAAATAAGTACACACATTTACATACACACCATATGTATGTACTATGTTTAGTATATCGTGTATTTGTTTAATGATGTTAATTGTAGCTTAAAGACAAACATAAATAGTTTTTTGTTTATTATGTATATAGTAATAGTTTCTAATGATGCATACGTTTGTTTGTAAGTTTATGTTATGTATAAATTGGTTAAAACAAAGCAATCAAAGTATAATTACGTTGTGAAAAAAACAAAACGAAAAAAACAATATTTGACCTTCGAAAATAAAAAAATAAAAAAAATACAATAGGTAATCTGTAAGTAAATACCTACAGATTACCTTTATCTGTAGGCAATTCGTAGGTATTTACCTACAGATTACCTTTGTCAAGTGGCCTTTCACGCACTTCAGTTAGGACGGCAAGGTCAGGATTCTCAGGGAGTAGTAGCATGGGTGACATAAATACCCACATGGGCTTAATTGATGCTATAGCAGATACAGGGGTGGTACAGAATGTTGGGAATGGTATTGTATATGGTTATGAGATGACAGACAACATTGAAGACCCTGCTAGTGATTTTTTCTATAATGGGCCTGAGCATGAAAATGAGCCTGAGCATGGGCATGAGTCTGTGCATGAGCCTGAATCACCAATGGTTCAGACGCCCCATTATTCGGGTACACATGGTGGATCAAATGATGCAGATTCGAATAGCTCTCATAGGCCATTTATCACACGAAATGGGTACAATTAAGTCTTTTTTTTTTAATTATTATAAATTTACGATTTTTGATGTTATAATTATCCTTATATGGTTATTTGAATATTGTAGGTTTGGGAGACAAAGTATTCATCGGACGATCTTAAAGATATTTTGGCAGTCTATAAATGAACCTTGGACTACTTGTAGAAAAATTCCTAAGGAAGTTGCCATTCAAATGTTTGAGAGTTTCAGGGTAATATATTAATTATTTATTTTTAATATCTATTTCTCATTCACTGTTATTTTGCATTTTAAACTTTTACTTTTTATATTTTACAGACTCAATACCTGTGGGATCTAAATGAAGAAGTGATAATTCGTAAAGGTTTTGAGAATACACTGAAAGATCGCTATAGGGTTAGAATGAGGGATGCTAGGGAAGTGTGACAACCGTCAATTTTCGGTCAAGTCAAAGTCAACTAAAGTTAACAAGTCAAACCGTTTGACTCAATTTGCCCGTGGGTACTAGAATTTACATTATGAAACTTCTACACAACTCTCTATCCTAATGAGACATCATAAAGCAAAAAGTGCGAACATCTAGATCTCTTTAACCTAAAATTGCGGTACGTGGCGAGCCAAACCGATAAAACAATGTTGCGTACTCATCGGGAGTGTGTAAGATCCTTAGACAAGGCTGAACAGGGTTTACGAACTTTGCATTGCGAAGCCAGACACTCACAAATGCCACACATGAAACCTCTCTCAATCGTTTTCACTCTATCTCTTCTTCTCAAGAATCGCTCCCAAATCTCCCTAAGAATGTCAAATCTCTCCCAAATCTCTCCAAGTATATGAAATCTCTCTCAAATATCTCTCTGTATGAGAAATCTCTCTAAGAATGTCAAATCTCTCCCAAATCTCTCCAAGTATGTGAAATCTCTCGCAAATATCTCTTTGTATGACAAATCTCTCAAAGAATGTTAAATCTCTCCCAAATCTCTCTCAAAAGTTTCCGTAACTTTTTGGAGTCATTCGGGTCATTCCGACCCTTAACCGGGTCAAAAACGGCTTAAAACGGGGTAAAAGCGTAAAATAGGCTTAAGGAACCGAAACCTGCTTTAAAGGGGCGAAGCCTCTTAGGACCCGAAGGTCCCTATAGGAACCGAACCCCGCCCAGGAGGAACCGAACCCGAAGGCTACTGTTCATTCGGCTCACTTCGAGTCTGACCACCTTCGCCTCTTATCGTCGGACCGAGCCTCCCTTCGCTTCCTCTCCTCCTCTCGCTTCCTCGCCCCCCTTTGTTTCCCCCAGTTTCGCTTCATTTCAGATTCGGCCATAGCAAGGACCGAACCTCGGCCTAGGACCGAGAGGTCTCACTGGAAACCCATTTTCTCCCGGTTTTCGCGTAGTTTTGCGTTTAAGGCCCGTTTTTAATTATTTTAACACGGGATTTTCACCCAAAATCATATTTTAACATAATCAACCCTAAATATTCACAATTTAATCATATTTTCATAAAAATCTTTATTTAAATAATAAAGGCAAGTGGGTAAAGTACAAAGTGGTGGAGTGTTGACTTTGCTTTACCTTATGACACAAGCCACCACTCCCACACCCACTCTATGACCAGCCATACCTCCCCACCTTACCTAGGTCACTTCAATGTCCCTTACACTCAATTTCCACTCATTCCCACGTTTTTAGAGCTGGAACAAAACACCCTCTCTCCCCATTTCTCTCATTTGCTCTCATTTCACTAAGTATCAAACACCACTTTTCTCTCAAACTTGTTCTCCACCAAATTCGAGATTCAAGGCTGATTTTCAAGTGTTCTTCCACTCTTAGTAAGTATAATTCATCCTGCTTATGATTATTACACTTCATTCTACTCAAATCATTGATTGCTTACACAAACTCCATAACCATGATGTCAGATTCTCGAAAATCTTCAAGGCATCTCCAAGTGTTCTTGAGTTAAACACTTCCATTCTTCAACAATCATCTACTGAAATCACTTAAGGTGAGTTCATACCCCTACATTTTCATGTTTTCTCAAGTTTTTAAGGTGGTAATACAAGTTAAAACACCAAGAACATAACTAAATTTTTCTAGCAGCCTTCATCAGAAAAGTTCAACTCCATTCACGGACTGTTTTGGGCATCTTAAACATTTTTTTTTCAAAACTGTACAAGGTGCAAATAGTTCAAGTTCTTAGCTTTAAAATTACTACTTGCACATCTCCATACTATTTTTCTACAATTTATAGTGATTTTTACAAAACTGCCTATCATTTCAAACAAGAATCCGGACCAGTCTGTGATTATGGACTTTTTCACCCAAGTTGGAGGTCATTAAAAAATCGTGATAACAATTATGAGTAAACTAGACACATTTTGTGAACTCTCAGAATTTACGGATCTAGTTTTCGACTTCGTATGATTTTTCTATGATTTTTCCAAAATAGTGAAGAATGGCTAAAGTTAGCCAACAACATGTAAATATCATAACACTTTGTATTATGTTGAGCAAAGTGTATAATCATAAGTTCTAATTATTGAATGTGTTTCTTTGTTAGTTTATCTTCATAAACTGAAACTTAATCACTCATTATAAGATTATTCATTTATTTAGATCACGTATATTAAGTTATAATAAGCATAGTTTATGGATTCATAACACTATTGCAGTTTCATAAAAAGAGTTTTTATACACTACAAACGTTTTGGATAAACTATAATAGGTATAGTTTAAGATTCATCACATAACACACTCGTACAAAAAGGGTACATTTTGACAAAAAGGTTCTACACTCATGCACACTACACGTAAACTTGTTAACTCAGGATGTGAGACTATCTCTCTCCCGTACGTTCGAGTACGGGATCCCTAAAATTCCTGTAAGTTATAACCAAAATCTCTTGTAGGGAGAGCGTGATAATTGTGTATAGATCTATATTGGGGTTGACATCCCACGGGTGACAAGAGTCATAGGATCAGGACGTCTAAAAGACGTTGTGTAGGTTACCTCTAGTCATAGTATGGTTATAGTGAATCACATAGGGAGCTAACAATAAATAAAGTTTACGGGATTTTATAAAACAAAAGGGGTTTTATGTCGATTTAAAAGCACTTTTATATCACTAAATTCAGATATTACTGTACACTCTCGGTTTAGGTATTTATAACTACGCATCATTTGAAACCACTCTTATATCTTTAAGTATGAAAAATAATTGTTCGTTTTCGGTCCTGGTATTAGGACCACATCACTTTTATAAGGAAAATATTGGATTTTTCTTGGTAACATACATCTCTCTACAAAGATCTATTTTCAAACTCTTACTGTCGAAAGCTTATGAACTCACCAACCTTTGTGTTGACACTTTTTCAAAACTACTTGTATTCTCAGGAATTCAGTGAAACAGGAAATCAACCGCGTTTTGAGGATGGGACGATAATTCGTCAAACAGTTCATTTTGTATCATAATGTAATTGATTTGAATCATGTAAATATATACTTTGGTGTAACTTTTCAATTATATTTATGTTGGTTGTATTTACTTTGAGCACTATAATACTCGTTGTTGTGATACTCTACATGAAGTCCTCCACCCCCGGACGTTTCCGCCATCCTTGGTTTGGGGGTGTGACAGATTGGTATCAGAGCATTGTTTATAGTGAACTAAGTATATCGAACCACATAAGATATACAAACTATAAATGCATTGGGACTAAGGTCTCTGATTTAAAGTTCTTAAAACAATTATACTTTTAGAAATAAATAGGTTCTTGTTAAAAGTATACATGCATGCATGCATACTAAGGTCAGCATCATTCTAGAACAAAACAAAAGTAATGATTGTTGGATATGACAGGTAAGCTTGGGGATGTATGCTCAGTCTTGGGAGTGGCATAACCTGATCAACTATGCTGGTCCGAGGAGTGATTAGCACGTGCCCAAGAATGGTTGTGATATGGCAACAAGTCTAAAAACATACCAACACTACCACAATGAAATACCATAGGGGTATTTTGCGTTATTATAATTACTTATCTGAGAACTAAATAGATTTTTATCAACAGGTCAATAGTTGCTTAGTGGATACATTAAAATTTTATGTATCCAGGACGTCATAGACTTAGAATCTGTGGATCTTTGCTCTACTTCCTGTTCTCGTTGGATTGGGTATTTAGAGTTAGGGTCGCTTATTCGAAGGTCTATCCTGTCCCGAATACATATGACTAGTATGCACTAAACAATGTGTTGAAGTACCTGATAAAGATCATCATATAATTATCTAATTAGTACGTCTACTTAGTTATTTCTTATATCCCCATTTCTCGCATGGATATCATGGCTGGATTTCCTTCCCCGCGACGACCCGTACTACCCTAACCACGACGATACTGAATGACTCGGAGAGGAGCCAGAGAATGATCACCCAACCCCTATGGATGGTCACCAAGCTGAAGGCTAGGCTGATGGTTCTGACCTCGAACCTGAAGTGGAGAACCTACCCCCGATGACTCTTGTTCCGAATCCTAACCCTCGCCCGACTTTTCAAGGCCCGATGCCTCCTTGGGTAGAATGCTTGGAACATGGAGCGAAGAACAAGACCAACCTATTTTGTTTAATGGAGACCGAAACTTCTACAACATAAACAAAGAAAGCTCAGCAGATAGAATTTTTCCAATCCTGGTCCGTAGAGTTGCCCGAAACATGATTCAGGGTAGAACAACTCTCCATAGTATCGCAGAGGTTGATGCAAATGCAAGAATACATACAATCCGCACCAATCTCCTTGAGCACACTCGTGAAAAGTCTGAGAGAGACCATGAAACCTTGCTGCAAGCACTGGCTGAAACATGAACCGAAGTCATAGAACTCCGAATACGCCAGAGGGTGTACGAAAGGCACATGCTTGTTATTGAACGACAACTAGCTGAACTGAGGGTTCACCAGATGAATGACCGCCGCCAGTAGTAGATGCCTTACTTGCTTTCCCTATTAATGAGGAATTTTTTTTCCAATCTATGTCCTATGTGGCATTCTCTATGAAACCATCTTGTACTGTAGGTACTTTTGGTTAGGCCTTTAGGCGGCCAAAACTCTCCTGCTCCGGATGCGATGTAAAACCCTCTACAAGGTTAATTTTCCTCAATTTGCTACATCTTAAACATCAATGACGTTGTCAGTCAGATGAATTCTATGACACTCTTTGTTCGAATACTTCCTAATGAGTCTATCTGAAACCCACTTTAGTCAAGTTGTTGGACTAGAATAATTTAGCTCCGGGATCGTTCCCAATTTCTTTCCAAGGTTGGATCACGTTATTCACCAACCAATGGAACCTAATTTTGAAACGACAAACATCAAAAGATCATTCTCCGAACTTACTCCTACTCTGATATAAGACTGCATCATAGGGATGTAGGTCCAACC